CAGTGGTAGACCCCGACTAAGCGCTTGTTTTGCCGACTTCCGGGTGCGTTTCCTGTAGATCCTCGCTACGCCGCTGTGTCAGCAGCAGCTTATCAACTGGCGGGTTCAGATGTTCAGAATGCGTGTCAAGATACACTTGCACATGGGTGGAGTAAGCGCTCGATGAATATCGATGAAGGTCGCTGTCAGGCGTTATTGGCACTGTACATGTCTTCGTGGGGCAAATCCAATTGCAAACCTGGATAGTGGGTCTCTGTGCAGTCTATGGATGCTCGCTGGCACATTCTGACTCTCAAATACTGCAGGGTGAAACTGTGTTCTAACCTGAAGAGTGACTGCGTTTCCTGGTGGTCCTATCTTACGGCGGAAACAGAAACAGCGGGTGTTGTCGGTAACCATCGGGGGTTATTCCGCCTGATAACGGAAACGGGCAGAAGGAAACCTGGTGTTAGTGAGACTGTATGCAACGAGATTGGTCAGCCAATCCACAACCTGTCAAAACGCTTGGAACATTGGGCTGAACAATTTGAAATGTAATCTAATCGACCAGAATTACTGGATGCTGAAGCCAAAGGGCTGTACATATACGTCTGTGTTGCTCCATCGCAGTTAGATCGGGTACTTGCGCAGAATCACGTCTTTGATTCCGGCGCGTTTGCAACATATTACAGCTACGCTTTATGCTTTTCGTTTGCGATGTGCTCCCTAACTCTGTACTCCGCAAAGTGGGTGTCTAAGAATTTCTTGAATTTAAACTCTGATTTCACCTCGACTATTGTTTCGGGTCAACTTTTCCATTGTTTCATCACTCGTTGCTCGAAGCGTACCGAGTGAGCTACTTGTCTCAAATCCGGCACTACGAGCTTGTTCCGGTGCTCACGAGTGCTGCTTGCTGGGCACACGTGCAGTGTCGGCCTCAACATGGAGAAGTGACCCAGGTGCAATGTCAGGTGCGTTATAATGAGGTCAACTCTAAACCGACGATACGACAGGATTTACAGACACAGTCGTCTACACCGGTCTTTTTACGACATACGTCGTAAACTGAGGATGAGCATAGTAGCCACAACTTGAATACATTCCAGCTTTTGCACCTCACCACGAGTGATTGTCCTACACCCTGGGACATCCCTTTGGATCCACGCGCTCTAAAGTCAAACCTGAAAGCAGATTGTTGCAATTGAATAAAGTCGCAGCATCAGATGAATTTGCTCTGGCTTTCTTCAAAGTCGGGTGCTCTGCTCTGATAGATTTACTTGATTTATCTATTAGTGAAACTATAAGTATAACAAACTGTCCCAACCGACCAGTCGCTTCCTTATAGCACCGGTCTTTTAGGGAGACTTACTTTCACATCACGGAAGTGAACTGACTATTGATTGCTTCGGCGGAGCTGTACGCCACCGGGCGCGTCCCCAGGTTGCGGATCGGGGAACGCCTTCCTTGTGAAGGTAACTGTGAATAAGTCTTGGCTGTTCGCAGGCGAGATGAATAAGCAGTCGCAGACAATCAGCGGCAGCGTCCTAGTGCGTGGGGGTTCTGGACTGGTCACCTGCTTTTTCATTGAATACCACAAGAGCTCGTAAAATGCTGTGTCAAACCCAATGTGACCGGTTATATGGTCACTGACCACTCACTTCTGCGACCAGAAGCGAGTATTCCACGGACGGCGGATGAGCTACCTCGATGGCCACAAGTTTCTTTGAAGGCGTATGAGCCACCCGGCTGTCAACGGCCTTCATGCTGTTCGGTGAGTACGTTGGCTTAGGAAATTTCTCCTGGTCTTCCTGCTGCTTCACTCGGGCTTCTATGGCAGCCTGAGCAGTTTGTTCCTGCTCGAAAGCCGTGTTATCATCATCATGGTAGCCGGTTTCCCACGGTATGCGATATACATCAATCGCCCCGCTGCTTTGCAGGTCAGGTCTTTAGACCGAAGGCTCTGGGTGGGGTCCCCTAAATCAACCCTCTTCCTCGGCCTGTGCAACCTGGAAGTACCATGTCTACACAACCTATGGATCAAAGTTTCAACGACTCCCTGCTCTCTCTCTGCTCTGGCAACGCTTTCCTCTGCCGAACATGCTATATCGCGCTCTACCGCACAACAGTTTGCCTACCTTATTCCACCTCTGTTCAATTTCCCCATCCTTGTTAATCTTCATCCGTTTCCGAATCCACAACATCGAGCCGCCTTGGGCGAGTGTTCTCGCCATACGGATCAGGAATTAAGGTCTGAAGGTGTGCCGCCAAGTAGTACTGGCAAACCTTTCCTGGCGGCCCTTTCCCAATTCAAGCTGGAAACTTTCAACGTCCGGACGCTGATGCAGATCGGATCACAAGCAATCCTTGCTCGCATGCTTGAAAATACTGCCATTGATGTTTGATGCCTCACTCAAACCCGATTACAGGACCCTAACATGACGCTACGACTGGTTTTGCCGTCTGGTGTGTGGACCTTCTGAGGCTGAGGTTGCTCATGAGCTTCGGCTCCTAAAACGCTACAAACCCGCTGGTCCGGACGAACTCCCTCCGGCCCTTCTCGAAGATGGAGGTCCATCACTTGTTCGGGAGCTAACTTCCCTCCTCCAAAAGGTTTGGACCACCGAAACAATCCCGTCTGATTGGAGTCTCGCGGATGTCATGCCGGTCTTCAAAAGGGTGCCCGGACGGACAGTGGGATTAGTCTCATCTGCGTTGCCTCTAAAGTGCTCGCCGCCCTGCTTTTAAGGAGGCTCAGCCTGGTACGCGAACAAAACATACGCGAAGAGCAAGCTGAGTTCCGCTCCAGCCGGAGTTGTATCAACCACATATTTACACTCCGCCAAATACTCGAGCGTCGTCAAACTTCCGGCCGGCCAACGATCGTTGTCATTTTAGACATACGAGCCGCGTTTGACTCAGTTGACCGAGCTGCTCTCTGGAGATGTATCTTGAGAAGGCGAGTGGCTGAACAGCACATCATCCGTCGACCCATCTACTCTTGGGCTGAGTGCGTGTGTACAGCGAACTTTTGCCGCTCTTTGGTATTACCAGTGGAGTGAGACAGGGCTGCCCTGCATCACCCTTCCTGTTCAATTTCGCTATTGATGACATCCTGGAGAGCGCTCTGGAGCATTGCGGACCCAGCGGTGTTGAACCGCTTCCGGGGGACCGACTTCGCGATTTGGAATATGCTGACGACGCTGTGATTTGCGATTCTTTACAATCTGCTCAAAATATACTGTGCAGCTTGGCGGTGTCTGCCTCCCATTTTGGAATGACCTTCATCCCTTCAAAGTCTAAGGCCTTCGTACAAGGCTGGCCAGGATCTGCTCCAACCCTTACCCTTTCAGGTCAATCTCTGGAAGTGGTAGACAAGTTCATTTGCCTCGGAAGTTGCATCAGCGCTAACGGTTTAACGGATGAGGTCTCTGCGAGTCTCTAAGATCCGGGTTGGCGTCGCCGCGACCTGAGTCTATTCTTGAAAGGCCCAGTCTACAATGCCACGGTGAAAGCAGTCCGGCTCTACGGTTGCGAGACTTGGCATGTTCACGCAAAGGACGTTCAGAGGCTGTCTGTCCTTGATCACCGCTGCCTTCGGAGCATTGTTGGTGTGCAGTGGCAACACCACATTAGTAATGAGGATGTTCGTCGAAGGATTTTCAAATCGGACAAACTTTACCGTTCGCTTAGCCGCATACTTTCACTGTATAGACTTCGGTGCCTTGCGCACGTGCTTCGCATGCTTACTGAGCGCTTGCCACACTGTGCACTCTTTGCGCACACAGAACTCCGCTGGAAGCGAAGACCAGGTGGTCAGCAAATGACTTGCGCCAAACGTGGAAAGGTAAATTCACATTTGGCCGCGGTTGGGGGCTCAAGGACCATGAACACACTCGACTGAAAACCCTATGGGGCATGTCAAAAAACCGTGAGCAGTGGCGAACATGTGAGATTCTGCCTCCATGATCACTTTTGAACTTTCTTGCCCTCTATTTCTTTATTGTGGTATCATTTTGTTTGTCCATACGTTATGGCACCCTGCCAATTGTACTGTTGACTGTGTTCTATATATATATATATATATATATATATATATATATATATATATATACCATTTTCACTTTAAATTGGACATTTTTCAAACCACATTGGACATTTTGCAAACCAAACTGGACATTTTGCAAAACAAATTGGACACGTTGCAATCTAAGTAGCAACTCGCCAATTTGTTGATAAGAAACGAGCAGTAAGACTGCTGAATGATGTTCAGAATACACATTGTGATGACGCTAATACACCGGCAATGTGTAAGCAGCGGGCTACACTGTAAGACATATGCTTGATCGTGAGCAGCGACCGAAGTTCTGAACTACGCTCCCCTCTCCCCATTGACATTCGCCTAGTTGGTGTGCAGTGCCCATACGCATCAACCTGTGTAGGTGTGTGACAATTGGAAAATCGGACGTCCGAATCGTAATTGTGTATCAATCATTTTGTGGGTGGATTGCGATGCGCAATCTCAATGTGCACCGTTATTCTCATTAGAGGGAACCTTGTCCGATTCGGTCAATGGGACCATGTCGGATGAAACAGGTAGGCGGTGTCCCAGCTTCGCCCGTCTCTCTATTAGCTTTCGCAACTGCCACGTTATTGTATCAACGTAGGCTGTAATGACCCCCAGCAAAACCAGTCTAGATCTATAGCCTATTGTTGCAACATATCAACTACTGAGGAGTGGGCCGATTACACGATGTTTAGGCCACATTGTGATCACGATAATGTAACCGAACTGCGTACGTAGCGGGTGATTGTGTAAGCCCTTCTCTTGACATGAGTGCCGTTCGCCTCGGTCAAAATCGGTGACCTATTTTCCCCTACACCCCCCATAGGAATTCGTGTGTTTTGTCTGGGTGTGTGGACTGACCTATGCAGCGGTACCACTATTGGAGCCGAGCATACGATAATGGTTCCACTCAACACAACTTAGCTTTATTAGCTCCGTGCCGCACGAAACGACAAAAATGAGTGACGAACAACAGGAGAGCTGGTGTCCGACGCGACGGCACTGCATGCGAACATCATTTGCGCAAAGAGAAACTCTCACAAAACTTGTGCTGGTCGACGGCAAAACTACTCGGGAAGCCGCTGAAGTCGCCGGTGTTAACGCAAGTACGGCAAGGAACATCATTAATGCCTACAAGCGAGAAGGCTCAAATACACAGCGCACCTGCGGTGGAAACAATAGGGAGAAGCTGACTCCCAATGTATTGCAGCGCGTCGAAGAAGCGGTTGAACGGCACTCTGAGGACACGTTGGTGCAGCTGCAGATGCGCCTGAGAGAGAATGGGATAAACCTATCAGTATCCTCTGTCTTCAACGCCCTCAGAAGACTAAAGATAACTATCAAAAAGTGTCGTTACGAGCTCGACCGAGTCAACAGTGCCATGACAATCGCTAGCCGACAGGCGTACGCTCTCGAATTCTCGGTGACCGTCCTGCTCTTACACGCTAAGCCAACTGTTAATATTGAAAACGCACATTTTGAAATTGTAATGGTGTATTAACAAGAAATAAGGCAGTAAGCAAAGATCAGTTGACGAAGGGTTGTCCGGCTGTCGCTTTCGTCAGGTTCATCATCGTATTGAGAACGCAGTTCATGCAGTCCTGCTGCGTTACCATCCCAAATCTGTCCTGAATGACCGTGCTCAGCGTCTGCTCAAGTGTGGGGTTAATAAGCAGGCGTCTCGCCGACGCTTTCACCTTTGAAAAGACGTGTTCGACCGGGTTTAGCATGTACGAGTAGGGCGGCAAGGACTGCAGGTGATAAGACGAACCAAGGATCCTCCTTAGCTCATCAGGCATATGGATGCTGGCATTGTCAGTGATCAGCCACGCGCCGTTCATCTCCACTATGCAGCTTATACGCGCCACCGGTTCCTCGACGAACGCTGAGAACTTCGCACCATTGCAGGTGCCATCGTTAATGATCTTTGAATGGATGACGGCTTGGTTATTCATTGCAACAATCACGGTTACCATGCGACCTCCGACTGTGGGTAACACGAAGTTCGCGCGCGTCACTCTTCTTGAGCGAGCCTGAGTTAGCCTCAGATGCAGGTTGAAACCACTCTCATCTATGAAGATGCATTTCTCCTTGTTAGAAGGTGCATTTGCCGAGAATTCGAGAGCGTACGCCTGTCGGCTAGCGATTGTCGTGGCACTGTTGACTCGGTCGAGCTCGTAACGACACTTTTTGAGAGTTATCTTTAGTCTTCTAAGGGCGTTGAAGACAGAGGATACTGATAGGTTTATCCCATTCTCTCTCAGGCGCATCTGCAGCTGCACCAACGTGTCCTCAGAGTGCCGTTCAACCGCTTCTTCGACGCGCTGCAATACATTGGGAGTCAGCTTCTCCCTATTGTTTCCACCGCAGGTGCGCTGTGTATTTGAGCCTTCTCGCTTGTAGGCATTAATGATGTTCCTTGCCGTACTTGCGTTAACACCGGCGACTTCAGCGGCTTCCCGAATAGTTTTGCCGTCGACCAGCACAAGTTTTGTGAGAGTTTCTCTTTGCGCAAATGATGTTCGCATGCAGTGCCGTCGCGTCGGACACCAGCTCTCCTGTTGTTCGTCACTCATTTTTGTCGTTTCGTGCGGCACGGAGCTAATAAAGCTAAGTTGTGTTGAGTGGAACCATTATCGTATGCTCGGCTCCAATAGTGGTACCGCTGCATAGGTCAGTCCACACACCCAGACAAAACACACGAATTCCTATGGGGGGTGTAGGGGAAAATAGGTCACCGATTTTGACCGAGGCGAACGGCACTCATGTCAAGAGAAGGGCTTACACAATCACCCGCTACGTACGCAGTTCGGTTACATTATCGTGATCACAATGTGGCCTAAACATCGTGTAATCGGCCCACTCCTCAGTAGTTGATATGTTGCAACAATAGGCTATAGATCTAGACTGGTTTTGCTGGGGGTCATTACAGCCTACGTTGATACAATAACGTGGCAGTTGCGAAAGCTAATAGAGAGACGGGCGAAGCTGGGACACCGCCTACCTGTTTCATCCGACATGGTCCCATTGACCGAATCGGACAAGGTTCCCTCTAATGAGAATAACGGTGCACATTGAGATTGCGCATCGCAATCCACCCACAAAATGATTGATACACAATTACGATTCGGACGTCCGATTTTCCAATTGTCACACACCTACACAGGTTGATGCGTATGGGCACTGCACACCAACTAGGCGAATGTCAATGGGGAGAGGGGAGCGTAGTTCAGAACTTCGGTCGCTGCTCACGATCAAGCATATGTCTTACAGTGTAGCCCGCTGCTTACACAATGCCGGTGTATTAGCGTCATCACAATGTGTATTCTGAACATCATTCAGCAGTCTTACTGCTCGTTTCTTACCAACAAATTGGCGAGTTGCTACTTAGATTGCAACGTGTCCAATTTGTTTTGCAAAATGTCCAGTTTGGTTTGCAAAATGTCCAATGTGGCTTGCAAAATGTCCAATGTGGTTTGAAAAATGTCCAATTTATAATGAAGATGATATATATATATATATATATATATATATATATATATATATATATATATATATATATATATATATATATATATATATATAAACGTTTTATTCCTCAGCAGTGCGAGGCAAAGGCCAATTGGGTGGTCTTATCAACATGTACAACGTGATCGCATAATATAGTTAATTGTTCGTCTTTTGATCAAAGGTTCCCATAAGGGTTTTGAAATGATTAGCAGTCAATAGGCCAGTCACAATTTGATGGAAAATCTTGGCGAGTGACGACGATGGTACAGAGACATCAGCTTGGAAGGCGTAGTGCATCAACGAACCAGTGCGTCAAAGGAGAAAACAGAATTGGTTAAACGGATTAATAGGAGTAAGATCGTTCTCAAATATATACTCAAGAATGCAATTATATGTAGGTAATCTTATATTATTGAAACGAATAGAGGATATGGTGACTTTCATACGTATCCAGGACCTTTCTCATACAAATCATCTAGAGTCACCGTTTGGCTTAGTGTTGACCAGATGTTTGCAACAGTCAGGTGAATATTAATCATGTGTCTGAATTGTGCATAGGTAGTGCAGTTTCTAACACTCGATGGAAGTTTGTTCCATATTAACGCGTATTTTACAGAGAAAAATTTTAAGCGGAGCATTGTGCGAGACTTTGGTATTTTCACTGTGCGCTCGCTGTTTCTTAGTTCATAGCGCATACGAGTCTGAAACTCGAGTTGTGGCTCAGCAGTGAAGGTCAATCCGAATAGTAAGCGGTATAAAAGGCACAGATTAAGTTTGAGTCTGCGTAGCCATAGCGGCTCCAGATTTAGCGCCTCGCAACGCTCACGGTATGTCATAGTATTAGGCATGTTCAGAAACCTTTTTGTGAATGATCGTTGAATGTTTTCTAGTGCTATAATATCCACTTTTCTCAGATTACTATGCACTATCGTACAGTACTCAAGTTTCGGCCTAACACATATTTTAAAGGCTTGAAGCCTGGAATCCCTCAAAATAAGAGTTCGACTTATATAGGCGATCACTTTTCTGGCAGAAGCCTGCAAGAACATAACATGCTCTAAAAAGTTAGATGAGGCAGAATATCTTAGACCAAGGTCTCGGACTGCGCCACACACAGGAATAGGGGTATCGTTTAATGTAAGGATATTCAGAGAAGGGCCACAGCCGTAGTACAATAGATTACTCTTGTCCGTGGCAAAGTGCAGCTTCCAGGAGTTACTCCAGAGCTCCAATGCGGACAAGTCAGACTGAATATAGGCTAAGTTAGGACTACGTTGCCCAGGGGTGGAACAATACACAATTTTAACATCATCTGCGAAAAGGTACGGCTTTCCATACGAGATTTCGTCGAGGAGATCGTTGAAATAGATTAAGAATAAAAGCGGGCCTAGCACGCTACCTTGAATCACTCCACTAGAAATTATAGTGGCTTCAGATGTATAGTTACCGATTTTGACTACTTGCTTTCTACCCTCGAGGTAGGAAGACAACCAGTCTAGAAGCGAATTAGTGATACCATAGGACATAAGCTTCAGCAGCAATAAATTGTGTGGGACACGGTCAAAAGCCTTTTGGATATCAAGAAATATTACGATGATAGCACTTTTGGCGTCTCTTGCTCTAGTCACATAATCAAGGTAATCTAACTGGCAGGTAGTGCACGACCTACCTTTCAAAAAACCGTGTTGATGTTTACTGAGAAGGCTCATAGAACTCAAATATTCTATTATGCGTTCTTTAACTATCCTCTCCATGATTCTGGAAATAATAGATGTGTGGTGGATTGGGCGGTAGTTTTTTACATCTTGCATAGATCCGCTTTTGTGCCTTGGTATTATAGTTGATTGTTTCCAGTGTATAGGATACTCCCCATTGAGCATGGAAAGTGTAAATACATTAAGCAAAAACAGGGGGATGTCTGGACCTCCGTGCTTTACCAGTATTGGAGGGATGTTGTCAGGGCCTGGTGAGCATGATAGCCGAACTAATCTGAGTTGGCAACATATGTCACTAAGTGTAAATTCAACAGTTTGGAGTGTATTACTCCCTCTGTGTATCAGCTTGAGCTGAGGATCATCTTTCGCATTAGCGCCATAAGTAGACATAAAGTAGTCATTGAAGATCGAACATATGATTGCACCGTCGATTATGGCAGTTCCATCAGAGTTTACAATGGTGTTTATACAACTTGGCTTTCTATTCTGCCTACGGTCCAAAAGTTTTGAGATGCAGCCTACCACATTTGCGTCCTTCAATGCCATTGCTTCCTCAGAGCATAGCATTTTGTGGTGGTCTTGGTATAACGCTGTAAGCAATCTGGTGTGGAGCATCAGCAGAGTAAAATCATTAGTTTTCCTAAATTTTTTCTTTATTTTATAAAGTTTAGTGGCTACCTTTTTTGAGATACCTGCAGGAGCAGCAGTCCTTTTCAACTTCTTAGTACGTTCTGGAGCCACAGCTTCAACACAAAGCTGAATGCGGTGGTAGAATTCATTACAAGCAACTTGTACATTCTGTGCTAAGCAGAATGGATCCCAATATGAAGACCTTAAAAGATCCGAGAAAATTGACCAATTCACAGAAGAGAATGGGCGATAATTTATCACTGATACTGTCGGTTTAGAAAGAATTTGGAAAGAACAACCAACAATGTTATGATCACTACCCGGCAACTTATCACTGATGTATGTGGACACATGCGAACATCCCATCGTAAATATTAGATCAAGTGTGTTTCCAAGTCGTGTAGGTTTTGTGACGTGCTGTACCCATCCCAGTCGATCAAGAGTAGACATAAAAGGATTGTGTTTTTGTGGTTTCTTGTTAAGGGACCACGGGATTTCGGGCATACTAAAATCCCCAGCGATTATTTTGTTAGTGTATGAGAGGTCAGC